CCCCCCCCAATGCCTCTGTAACATGGTCATTGACTCACTTGCTACCATTTCCAGTCTACAGTGGATGTCAACAAAGTTGACCACAAAACCATCGTAATTTTCCTATAACATTGCCATGCAGCGGCGATTGCTTTTACTGTCTTGTCACTCGTGAGAAAGTACATACTTAAATCGATGTTCTACAGTAGTTATTGGACTTCACGTTAAGTCGTGACTGTAATTGGCTGAAAAAAATGCTGTGGATGGTTACCCTTGGTTAAATTTGACTTGACAAAAAATCGTCGGGTAGGTGAAAATCTGTACTTTCGGGGTTGGTAGGGTTCGTTAAACACAATTTTGTGAATTCGCGATATTCGTGAAGGCGCACATTAATCAGGCCTTCTCGATATCGCTGGAGATCGCAATGTTATTAATACGGAACCGAAGTAGAATTCAATAGCAGAGGCCCAGTTTGACTTCGTACAACTACAGTCGTATACCACACGTATCGGTGTTGTGAGTGAATCCGTTTTTACCGAGCTATGAGGTAGATAATGACCACAATTAACATCACCATCAACCACATCTTCAATAAAATCACGCGTCGGTTGATAATCTACGTACCATGGAGCGGATACGTTTATCACTAATTAGATAATTTGTTGGCAATGGTCAAATTTCCATGGTGATATATTCCATTCTCACTTCGTACGATTCAAAATCATAATCTTTAACACATTTCCCACTTCCCACATCCTTAATACCGATTGTTTGATTTGATTCCATCATTGTGCCAATCTTATTATATGGTAGTGAAATCTGGGGTATGAGAACGTTCCTCAAATTGAACAAGTTCAGAATCAATTTTGTAAATTTCTACTAACTCAAGCGATTTACCAGCTGTTGGCGAATGTGGTCAATTATAATTACTAATGGGTGTAAATAGATATCCTCATAAATGTTATTTAATGTTAAAAAGATTATCCGACAAACGTGTTATAACGTCGGTAAGTTGGGCTTTAAATGTAAAAGTGTTGCTATTTCGCTTTGGATTCGGCCATGTATGGCTGAACCTAGGTGTTGGGTAAAAAACTTGTATTTCTTTCACAGTTCACACAAAGAATTAAAGATTGTGCGCTCGACGACACTGAATACTATGTTGAACGAAATCAACTTTATGTTGAAGACGAATATCATTTTATAGCTATTTGCCATCGTTATCAACGTATTAGAGCAGAATTTTTGCTAATAAATTATGTCAATTTAAACCAGTTAGCTAGTTATGTTTATTTTGCCATGAAAAGCAGAACTTGAATGATTTTTATTGTTACCATTGTTAAGTGAAATGAGTTGTACTCTTTGGGCCAATGGGGTTTTGCTTCGCAATAAACAAACATGATTGTATCCAGTTTCCAATAATCCTGAAGTTTCGTTTCTTCCTCACGTGTAGTTGTAGCAAAATGCAAAATAGTAGTATTGATATTTGAACCTTCCTTTCCAGTCCCGAAAGCAAATACCGACATCTGTAGGTCCCAGTCCCCGGATGACGTGGTCTTCGATAAAATCAAAATATAGTCTGCTCCAATTAACACTGAAATTTGGAATGATTCAGCTTTGGAGACCAGGTGCGCCAGTTTCAGTTCACGTAAGTGGGGCAAGTTTATTAAATTCGATAGATGTGTACATGTTTCAAGAACTATTGGAGCGCTAATGGTGCGAACTCCAAAGAGATTTACGAAGACTATCTCGGTATTTATCGGTTTGGGTAACTCGCACAATTACTTCTATATACGCAGAGGTAATATGAAGTTCTTGGCCGTATCGTTTACGTAAAAGTTCGAGCGCATGCATATAATTATCAGTAACTGCAATCCTTAAATCGTTAGCGCGACTTCACCGGATAGTTTGGCGCGAAGATATTGGAACTTCTGAACCGCACCAAGATGTATATTGTTGTCCACAGCGGCGACAAAAGCGTCTTCAAAACTTTTCTATTTTATAACATCTCCGATGAACATCGGAAGTTCGAGTTTCGGTAGGGTAACTGATGAAGAATTTGTTGTCATGGAAACATGTTCACGAGTATTTCGTTGGCGGG